TATAGAGTGGTGGTAGTATTATTTATTTTCCAATGGAAGTTTAGAATGCTAATTGTATCTTCATGAATGCTAAAATATTTTAAATTATGAAATTAACACAAAAAATTAACTTTTTAGAAAGAAATAATACTTCGTGCATGACTATGATTTTAAAATAAATTTTTATATAAAATTTGAGGTATTTAAATTACATATGCAAGTTTGGAGTGCTTACCTCACATCTTTTTAGAATTTGGGTTATTTTAATTATTATTCCCGTTTAGATATGGTTTTAGTCCTTATAGAAATGGAAAATTTTGTTTTCCTATTAATATGTATTATTTTCTTTTTAGTGCGCCCATTCCTAATATCGAGATCATTCTATTTAAAAAAAATAATGTCGCTTGCATATTGAAACTTTTCAATTTTACTTATAACTTTCTGAGTCTAAGATAAGAGTAAATTAAAAATATATAAAGTGAATTATTCACATTTTAAACTCAATTTTAATGACTTTCTAAAACTAAAATTGCATATTCTTTGGGTGCCATGCCAAAAAATGAAAGGCATTTCTAAAACAAAAGAGTTATTTCGTTTTTTCTTTTGATACAGTCAGAGTTATTTCGTTATTAAATGAAGATTGTTATGATTGATTGTGGACTAAAAAAGCATACATTACACAGGTGAAAACAAGTTAATTTTAATAGGATGTAAGATAATATATTCTCCGATTCGTAATATATTTTGTAAAGAAAAATCATATTTATGCCATAAAAATATGGGATGAATGAAAGAGTAAAACCTAATACCGAGTATTTGTGTATGATAGAATAATTATGAGTGGACAAAAGCTAGCTAGCTTACAAAATTGAGTACAAACACTCTAGATTCACAAAATTTATATAGCTTGACATGGAACCTGCGGTTTTTGGGTTTTGGCCCGAAAACAAAATATTTTGCATCATTTTCGAGTCCGTCCGTAGTTACCATACCTATTTATACGTGTATGAAAAGGACCCTCCATCCATGCCAAAAAATATATTTAAGTTATTCTTATTTTACAATTCAACTACTACTCCCTCCGTAACATATATATGTTCTCATTTGAAAAGTAGGTAGATTAAGAATAGTGAAAGATGATATAAATTATTGAGGGTATGATGGGAAGATAGTGAAATAATGTGTTGGAATGAAGGATAAATCCAAAAAAGTAGGTGTAATAGTGTATTATTTTTAAAATTATTGAGGGTATGATTGGAAGATTATGAAATGGGAAGATATGAATGTTACATCAAAAAAAAAGAAAGTGAGAAGATATAAATGTTACGGAAGAAGTATATCATAAATAAATTCTTCACGCACAAATTGAGACGGGAAATTGTCGCAGTCATGCCCAGAGCCCCAGAGCAAATAATACGAGTCATTAATAATTATGCTCCATTTAAAATTACCGTCCCTTATTACGATCACTGAAGTGTTATACGAAGTACTACGTACTCCCCCCATTTACCTGTCTTACTTTCCCTTTTGGATTGTCCCAAAATAAGTGTCACATTTCCCATTTTGGAAAGAAATATGTGGTTCACAACATTTCACTTTAACATACTCAAATCTCAACCACAACTTTTACCTTTTCAACCACTTTATAAAAAATTGTGCCAAAACCAAAGGAGACACATAAAATGGGACGGAGGTAGTACTCGTATTCATATTTTACGAGGTTAAATTGAAACTAAAATGATCCTATATATTGTAGTTAAACTTATATATAAAAATTTTACTACGTACTTTTTAAATATAACATGAAATTGATATATACGTATATATATAAATAAAATAGATGAAAATGGGAATTGACTACTCCTTTAATAAAAGATCATATAACATCAAACATTGAAATTCAAGGAGTAATAGTTAATGATTCATTATTAGGAGTTACGTTTATCCCATATACTCAGTTCGTATTCTAAAATTTGCTACACTTTTCTTTTTTGGATGTATTTAAAAATTTTACCACACTTTCCTTTTTTGGTAAGTTTTTTCCTTTAAAAATACTCAACTACCCTTACTTTTTTCACTTTTTATCTTTTCTTTCATACTTTTACGGGATAAGGGTCAGTTTGGTCCTCGAAGTTGCAAAAAAGGGGTCAAATAAGTCCTTATATAGAAAATTCAGTCCGGACGTGCCATTTGAGGTGGCTCCCGGTGGAATTTTTTGATTAAATTTTTTGAGCATCTTATTCATTAAGTCTAGTTTACTCATACCAAATTTCAGATAAAAATTCAATCGGGAAGACATTCAAATGAATTCTTGAAGATAACCGTGTCGTTAAAAGCGCAGTTATCTTCAAGAATTCATTTGAATGTCTCTCCGATTGAATTTTTAGTTGAAATTTGGTATGAGTAAATTAGACTTAATGAATAAGATGCTCAAAAAATTTCATCAAAAAATTCTACCAGGAGCCACCTCAAATGGCACGTCCGGACAGAATCTTCTATATAAGGACTTATTTGATCCCTTTTTTGCAACTTCGAGGACCAAACTGACCATTTACTCATACTTTTACACACTCTCTCATATTTTTTCTACACTATTCATTACCCCTATTATTTTATTCTAAAACTTTGTGCCCAAACCTAATGTAGAGAACTAACTACATATGCAGGGAGTATATACTTTAAGAAAGCAATTGTGGTCCTGCATTATACGATTTGGCTACATATGTTTTCATATCTTAGATATTTCTTTCCAAATTTCTTTCTGAATAGAATAAATTCCACTTTTTGTTGACTTTTTTCAATTTTGCAAAATAGTGTACTACACATGTATACAAAGTCTTTTTCCATCATTTGCAATGAATCCAAAGATTCACTATATTTTAGATTGAAAATATGATGGAATAAAGTAAAATGGCTCACCAGACTGTCTACGCTTCTTTGTTATGAAGCATCAGTCAGTCCATGCAATTTTGGACGCGATTTTTACTATGAGTCATCTGGAAACAGTCTCTCTGTACTTTAGTACAGGGGTAAAGCTGCGTACATCCAAACCCCTTACCCCTGTAGGTGGGAGTCTATGCGTCACTGGGCTAATTGATGATTGATGATTGATTTACATGTATACGAAGTCTAAACATTAGTAATGTTTTGGGAGAGGACCACTCTTTATTAATCACTTCATTAGTCTAACAGTTTATAATCACTCCATGGGTAATATAGACACCCACTTTATTCATTCATATTGATATAATCAAATCCAATCACTTTTCTCGATCTGTAAGTAAGAAGTTGTTCTATATGAATGTTTCTGATCTGATGTTATCTGAATTTTTCTGATCTGATCTAATCTGAATCTTTCTGATCTGATCTGATCTGAATCTTTCTGATCTGATCTGAATCCTTCTGATCTGATCTGAATTTTTCTGATCTGATCTGATTATTTCTTTAATTATAATTATAATTATTATAATTATAATTGTAATTATAAATATAATTTAAATATAATTTATAATTATAGTCATAATTCTAAAAATATTGAATTATAATTATAATCATAATTATAATTATAATTAAAGTTATAAAAAATTATACCTACTACACTGATTATAATTATAGCTATAATTATAATTGTAATTATATTTTAAATTATAATTATTTATATAATTATAATTGTAATTATAATTATAATATTATGTATAATAATAAAAATAAATAATAATAATAATAATAATAATAATAATAATAATAATAATAATAATAATAATAATAATAATAACAACAATAATAATTATAATAATATGGAGTAGTAGTAGTAGTAGTAATAATAATAATAACAATAATAATAATAATAATATTAATAATAATAATCATAATCATAATCATAATCATAATCATAATCATAATCATAATAATAATAATCACCTCAATAATAATCATAATAATAATAATAACAATAATAATAATAATAATAATAATTATTATTATTATTATTTTATAAGAATAAAAGTGATAAATTATGTTTGAAATTTTCTGATCTGATCTGATCAGATCTGAATGCTTCTGATCTGATCTGATCTAAATCTTTCTGATCTGGTCTGAATGATTCTGATCTGATCTGAATAAAATAAGAATAAGCAATAAGTAATAAGAATAAGACGAACAGAATAGCACCTAAGTTTTCATTTTAATTTCCCTCTCAATCCTAAATTCTATTTGGTATAACATCTTTAACTTCCTAAAAAAGGAACTAACTTTCACAGAATCGCCTAAGACTAGACTAACATTGATTTCCCGATCGATCATCAATTTATCTCTGGGACTATGAAGTTGTTCTCTTCGTCTCATTCTTATTACTTATTGCTTATTCTTATTTTATTTAGATCAAATCAGATCAGAAAGATTCAGATCAGATCAGAAGCATTCATATTACATTAGAGAGATTTAGATCAGATCAAATTAGATCAGAAACATTCAGATCAGATCAGAAAGATTCAGATTAGATCAGATCAGATCAGAAAGATTCAGATCAGATCAGAAAGATTCAGTTCAGATCAGAAAGATTCAGATCAGATCAGATCAGAAAAATTCAGATCAGATCAGATCATAACTTAAAAAATTCAGATCAGAAACATTCAGATCAGGCGAAGAGAACAACTTCATTCTAATTCTAAGCTATAATAAGATCATAACTAGAGAAAAGTCTCCCAAATTCATCATCTTGGAGACTTCAATCCATGCATGAGAATGAAGGAATTTACATTATACAGTGGAATGTGATTCAATTCATTTGAATATCTCCCCATCCCATTAACGTTTTTTGGTTCTATTGCATGACATTATCTCAAGAAGACCCAAAAAGAACAACCGTGAAATTTGAAAGACATCTCCCTTTCCAAATTCTCTCACTGTCTTATCTATCCTCGTCTTTTTTCTTCTCATTAGAAAAGGGAAAAAATCATGGAAAAGGGAAATAATTGAGATATATACTCCATATTTAAGAGGGAGTCCGCTTCCCATACCATACTACTACTATACTATACATTCTCAAACCATCATATTCTCTATATGGCAAAAGAACACCCCAATTCCAAGACCTCAACTAACAACAAACCTGCAGAAAATAAGAACACACCAAACAATTTCAAGATGACCATCCAAAACACCCAAAGAAGAAGAACAAAACCCGAAGAGCCGCCATCACAACCGCCGCCGCAAACCGCCGCCTCCCCGCCTCACTTGTCATCTTCATGTCCTTCTGATGATGAGTTCTCCTTCACCATCACCCTCCACCCTTCATCCTCCACAAAAATCCCCGCCCCTCCGGATGAGGGAGCCAAAACCACCGCCAAGCCACCCACACCTTCCTTCACCGCACTCGAAGACGATTTATCTCCGGCGGATGAGATATTCTTCCACGGCCACCTCCTCCCCCTCCGCCTCCTCTCCCACCTCCCCGTCTCCGCCCGCTCCTCGACTAACTCCAACGACAGTTTCACCCTTCCCGTAAAGGACTTCTTACATGATAAAAATAAGAACTTGCCAAAACCAGCCAACACCCAAATACCCAAAGATCCAAAAGCACCCAAACCGGCGAAAACCTCCGGCTTCTCCCTTTTCCGGCTACCGAAACGGAGAAAAGACCAGTCCGATTGCCCAACCCTCATTAAAGTAATCAATATAGAAGTGAAAAGGAAAGAAGAGAAGGAAAAGCAATGGAGGAAGCTGAGATGGGATGTAACCCAAGTCGTGAAAAGATACATGAGAATGGTGAGACCCCTCTTGTCGTCGTTCAAGAACGGCGGCGGCGGCGGGATAAAGCGGGAACGGCGGAAGGTGGAAACCGCCGACCGGAAAGCGCATTCGTTTTCGTCCGGGAGCATAAGCGTGACGAGAGGGATCAGCAGAAGTGATAATAATATCACGAGCAGAAGATCGTCGGCGTTCAGCGGCGGGTTGAGAGGGGAGTATTCTGCACCGGCATCTACCAGAACGTCGCCCACCAACAGCGGCCTTCTGGTGGCGCAACCGCCGTCGAAGTCGACGGCGTCAAGTGACAGCACGATGGAAGAACTGCATGCTGCTATCCAAGCTGCTATTGCTCATTGCAAGAATTCCATCGCGGTTCATGAAGATCAGACAAAGCCAAATGTTGCCGTGGCTTGATTATTAATCAGAAACTACGGGTTAAAACAGGTAATTGACAAATTTGATTTGTATGAGAAATAAGTTTTTAAAAAAATGATGTATTTGAAGTTTTTGTGTGGAGACAAATTAGCACAATTATGAATTACTCTCGGTAATTATCAATCCATCTCTTTTTTAGTTAGCAACTTTACCACACAATAATAACAGTAAACTTTGGTCAATCATTTCAACTAAAATTAAATGATGTACTCTATCTAACATTTCACACATTTAATGAAGCACAACTTTGACCATTAATATATATAACTCTTTATTAGTAAAAAAAATAAAGAAATCAGATTTTGAAAATTTACAATGACATAAATTTAATAATATTTTTTTCAAAAAAATATACTAATACATCAATAAATAAAATGTAGTCAAAGTAGAACACGTGAATAGTGTAAAATTTGCAATGTTGCATTTATTTAAGAACGGAGGTAGTACGAAGTACTCCCTCCGTCCCGAAATAATTGTCTTGGATTGACTTTCACACAGATTAAGAAAATGAATTTGATTGCACATTGTTTGGCACGGTAGCGACACTGTTTGACTCTGTAGTGACATTGTTTGATATTGTTTTGCACTGTTTGACACTGTTTGGTATAGATTTGTTTATCAAATAAGGAAGTTAGAGAAATGAGACAATTTTTTCGGGACAGACCAAAAAGGAAAGTGGGACAATTATTTCGGGACGGAGGGAGTATATTTTAGTGAAGCTTATAAACTTAATTTATATGTAGTACTTTTTTATGATAAATTTTTAATATTTTTTCTTCGTATTATATATTTTCTTATACAAATAGATCAAAATTTAGCATCACTGATTAGAAAAATCAAAGATAGTTAACCAATGACAAAGTTTTGGTATATAAATTAAAAAGAAAAGTTCACAAATTGTAATAGATAGATTGGAGTATTGTTCACAAATTCTTTTTTGAGGAGCATTTTTTTAATCCAAAGTATAGAATATGAAAAAGCGCAAAAATAGGAGTACATATGTTTTATTCTCAAAATAAAACTCATTTAGTCTAAAATAGAGTTTTAGACTAAGTGACTTTATTAATGTAATTATTTCATATAATAAAGGGAAAATGGTTACAAATGGGAGTAAAATTTACTTCCTTTACTAAAATAGGAGTGCGGTTATTTTTAATCCTAAATAGGAGTATATTTTATTGATCTGTCATTTTTACCCCTGCTATTTCGTTTCAAGCGGAAGATAGAAACTCAGACATTACATCCGCGATTCGGATGGCAGGAGAGTAGGCATGAAGGTATTCGATCGATGGTGAAGGAGGGTGCAAAAGGCAAAGACGGCGGAGTTGAAGAGGCCGACGGTGAGCAGCGGCAACCAGCGTGGGACTCTCGGCGAGTTGCGATTCGAGATCTGGTGACCTGAGTGAAGTAGCTCGTAGATCTGGTGACCAGCGACCAGCGTGGACCTTCCTCTTCTCTGGTTTTGGCTCTGACGACAGATTTAGCCTTTTCCGGCAGAGGTGTTGCTAGCAGAATGAATGCCAGTCGATAGCCATATGCACAGTGATAGCTCCAGAGATGTCAACAATTGATGCCTTCGTGAAATAACAAAACAGCCTCAGATGCTTGATTGCTTCTTTGTTTATTAAAAACTGCAAATTGTATGCTCAGAATGCCATTAAAATTACATTATTATTCTTCAAAATGCCATATTTTAGTTTGAAAATGCCATTAATATGACCTTGTTGCTTCAATTTGGTAGTCCAAAAAAAAATTGGCATTTTTTTCCAGTCTTCAACTGTGATGGTGCTGGGAGGCGTGAGAGTCGTGATAATGTTGTAATTTTATTATGTATTGTCTCACTTTTAATTAGTTTTATTGTTTATGGTGAGAGAAATTACACACTTTTGGTGTAATTAGTTTATTTTCCTAGATAGATTTAATTTGTTTAGATTAGGATTATTCTGAGCTTAAAACAGGTCAAGATCATCCAAAGGACCAAGATTGGACCCCAAAAGATCAAGGAAGGTGCAAGGGGACAAGATAAAAAGAATATTGGGAAAATATTTCATATACCCGGTCGGGTGTAGGCAATACCTGATCGGGTATTGAGTTGATTCGGGTGTCAAAATCAGAATCTGGAGAGACAAAAAAACGTGCAGGATTTTGAAGATTTGGCTCATACCCGACCGGGTATGTCTAGAAAAGTGATTTTCCGGGAAACTGCCTAAAATACCCGATCGGGTACCCTATATACCCGATCGGGTACACAACCCTGCCACCTCCAAACACCTATAAATACACCCCTTTTTCTTCACAATAAAATCATTCCTTCTTCCATACTCTTAAAATAAGTTTAGAATAATATTTCTTTTATATTTTTATAGCATGTTTAGTCTCCAAATGAGGAGCTAAACTTCCATTTCTTGGCGTAGCTCTTGAAGCTTGTTGATTATTAAAGTTGTGAGTTATTTTCTTAACTTCTTCCCTTGAATATTAATTCTTCCCTTAATCTATCTATATATTAATGTTGGGGAGTTTTGCTAAGATGACAATTAGTTAACATCTCGACATTAGTTATAGTAGTATTTATTTTATTCCTCTATATATTAATGTTGGGGAGTGTTGCTAAGATGACAATTAGTTAACGTCTTGACATTAGTTATAGTAGGATTTATCATCTTTAATATTCTTCCTTGAATATTAATTAATTCCTATTCATATTTCATATTAATATTTTGAACATTACTTAAAGGATCAACTAGTTTTGTTTCATGTATTAATTATTATTAGGATCGATCGACGAATACGCTTGTTAATCGTTGATGGTTTCACAAATAAGTAACTTCGGTTTATTAATGCACGGTCGTGATTAATAAACTTAAAAGTGATTAATTTTGTTGGTTAAACCGAAACCATTGTGTTGGGGTTATCAATCTCAATTGATTTCATCAAGGAGTTAAGAGATTAAATGCTACTATAAAGTCGGTATATGACGGTGTTCTATACTTGACTAATAGTAAGGGTTATTAATGAACGGTCATTGTTAATAACTACCCTCGATGAATTTGATATACTCCTCGATTGAGTATTTGAGAGGGGATAAGTTATAGATATAACAATGATCGACTAAAATATATCAACAAGTGGAAAGTAGCAATATAATGCCAAGTCCTTTTTATCTTTTAATTAAATCTCATATAAGTCTTTCATCTTCGTATTTAATTAAATTAAATCACTCAATCTCAAAACCCCCCTTATTTACTAGTTTTACTAAAAAGAGAATTATTACTTTCCCTGTGGATATGAACTCTACTTCATCTATACTATGTATAAGTGCTAGTATCAAATATTATTTTGACGCACCGTGACAAAGTACTCGTCAAGTCGGTAGAAGGTGCCGGCATTTTTAATTTCATTTTTATGATTTTTTATTAGATAAAAAGTGAATTTTTTAATGTTAAAATATGCTAAGGGTAGAATGGGCATATACATACTAACTAGTCCTATTCTGGAAATTTAATACTTCTACTCCTACTTGTGCAATATAGCTTTTATTTAGTCCTTTTAGAGAATTACCCCATAATAAAACAATAAAAACAATAAAACAATAAAAGCAGAATCAGTTTGGAACTGCTTCTTCTGCTTCTTTTTTGAAGCACAATCCGAATGAAAATCAGTTTTCAGAAGTTAATCCCCCCACATTCTAAAAAACCTACTTCTAGAATAAATTAAAGTATCAGATGTATTTCTACACTTTCACCTTGAAGGAGTAGAAACAATTTAAGAATCAGTTCCAAAAACCCAATAACACTGAGAGGAATAGGAGTGAATGAGACTAGTTTGCAATAAAAAAAATAAGTGAAAATAAAAGTTTTAATGTTTGATAAAGAAGTTTGACTATTTGAAACTTTGAATACAAGTTTCAGAACATCACACAATATTTGGAACGGATATAATAATAAGACTTAAAACCAAACAAAATAGGAAGTACAATGTAAAATAGTTGATGTACAACCCGACTTTTTTTTACAGTAAGTACAACCCGACTTGGTAAAAATGAGAGCCTTGTTATAATTTAAAGTGATACTCGGTAAAAGTCATTGAAGCTTTGCCCATCGCCCACACGGTAACGTTTTTATAAACAAAAAAAACTATTGGTACATATTTTCATACCCACACGTACACACTCCTGTTTGTGAAAGTTCTTTTTTTGTCTGGATACATACACAACGTATTTCAAATACGTTGTGGGTACGCCGTACGTGTGTGTATAAAAAGTGTGTACCTCAAGCTGGAATGCTGAATTGTTTGATAAATGTAGTCGAATTTTATTTATGAAAATTTCGTTAATTATTAGGTACTTTGGCCTGCCGATATTATGGCACGGCCCGGTGACTCCGGTCAAACTACGGTTCACAATAAAAGCTTGTCATGAGAACCGAAGCCGTCCGGTCAGGCTGGCGATAAGCAACGTTCGTAGGCGAGCCGGATATTCCGGCAGAAATTCAGGAGGAGAAAGACAACTAAGGAATGAAGGTTTTTCCCGCCGAATTCACGGTTGGTCGGTAGCGGTTGAGAGAGTGCTGTCAATTTAGTGGTGACGGCCCGATAATGTTCAACTCTCTCCTAGCAAGCAATGTACCTTCTGGCTAGCTTGATAGTGATTTTTCGATTTCCTCATATTTCATTAATTATTGGCATCTTTAATTTTTCTTGGGTATTTTATTGTTGGGAGTTGCGTATATACCATCTCCGTTCTTAAATAAATGCAACACTTTGACTTTTACACTATTCACATATTCTACTTTAACTACGTTTTATTTATTAATGTAATAATATTATTTTATGAAAAAAAAATTGTTAAATTTGTCTCATTGTAAATTTTCATAATCTAATTTTTTTAATTTTTTTACTAATACAAAACCATTTATATTAATGGTCAAAGTTGTATCTCGGCAAGTGTGAAATGTTGATCGTTGCATTTATTTAAGAACGAAAGAAGTATATGTATTTAATTTACCGCAAATGATATGATACAAATTTAAAGTCCCTCCTCTTAATTACCAAAGCTAAATAATAGGGGCGGATCTAGAAATTTGGATGGGAGTGAGCTGAATACTAATTATATTAAGGAAAAAACGTTAGTGACGTGAGCTAAATATGAAAAATAAAAAATGTACTCCAAGAAAGTTGAAAACTTATTGGTCCCGTTTGGATAATAGTATTTCCTTCAAAACGTTGAATTACTTGAACTACAAAACGCTGCATTTTGCAGCGTGTAGCACCAACCCGTAGAAAGAAAAAAGGGGTCATAATTATACAATATTATGGAGAACTTTATTGGAAGACTTGGCAATAAAGTTAGGAAAACACGCACATCCAAATACACGTAAAAAATTAAAATCTGGAGGTTTGTTAAAAGCTTTTCAAAAGGAGTTAGATTATTCAAGAGTGGTGTAGGTAGACGGTTAATAATATAAGTGGCGGTGTATAGCGCATCCACCCAAAAGGTAGATGGAATAGACGCCTCAATTAACATGGTTCTAGTTAACTCCAGTAAATGCCTATGTTTACGTTCAGCAACGCCATTTTGAGCTGGAGTATCGGGGCAAGATTTTCGGAATAAAATCCCAGATTTCAGAAAATGATTATTAAAAGCAGTATTATTAAACTCGCCACCACCATCACTCTGAAAGACTTTAATCTTTCTATCAAAAAGATTTTCAACAAGAGTTTGAAAATTACAGAAGTGATGAAAAACCTCAGACTTACGTCGCATTGGATAAATCCAAGTATAGCGTGAAAAATCATCAATAAAGCAAACATAATATTTGAATCCTAGATTTGAAAGAACTGGCGATTGCCAAACATATGAATGAATAAGTTCCAAAGGTGCAGTGCAAGAGTGAACAACATCATAAAACGGAAGTCTGTGGGATTTACCCAGCTTACAAGAAACACAATTATGATTAAAATTACTAGAAGTAGAAATAAAATTATTTTGCCGAAGACGTTGTAAAACTCTGTCACCACAATGTCCCAAACGTTTGTGCCAAGTGGGGCCAGGAATAAGAGTAGCTCGAAAGGCATGAAACGGGTAAAGGTGATCTTTATTGGAAGCCTGAAGAAGATGCGCCCCCGTCTGATTGTCCTTTATAGAAAAAGAATTTTTATTAAAAATCACCGTACAATCATTATCCGCACACAACTTATGAATAGATAATAAATTATATTTTAAGTGCGGAACATGATAAACGGAGTTTAAAGTAAGTGAGCGACCAGGAGTGACTAGATTAACACTACCAATATTAGAAATGGGTAATTTAGTACCATTAGCAACTTGCACCGAATTAGAGCCAGTATAAGGGGTTTTACAAGTTAAAATACCTTCGTGAGGAGTCATATGAGCTGACGCCCCAGAATCAGGGTACCACACCGCGGAATTTGATTCGCCAGAAGGGAGAGCCGCAAGGGCCGGTGCAGATGGACCAACAAATCGGGAACATGTAAGTGCGGAATGACCTGGCGAGAAACAAATTTGGCAGATAACTGGAGGTTGTGGAAAATGACTATTATCCCCAGATGGAAAACCTGCACTGACATTATTAGTACCACAAGTATAGAAGTGATTTAAGTACGAATAACCAGACTTAATATTACATAATACCGGACCTGGATTGCCAGCGGGAGCCTGCGCCCGAGGAGATCCGTACTGGCCAAATGGTGGTAACGGCAAAAGAGGAGGCTGCTGATGTCCATAAACTGCCTGCTGGTGATGGAACTGAACACCATACCCGCGGCCCCTGCCGCGTTGCCCACGACCACGGCCACCGCGATACCCGCGCCCTGCTGGAGCTCGACCCCCCTGTCCACGAGCTACAGGCGCTGCACCCCCTCGATTCTGGCCCGCTGGAACTGCGGCAACTGCTGGGGCAGCCGCAAACGCCTGGTGAGCTGGAGCCGGATCTTGAGAACGAAGAAACTGATTCCTTTGTTCTTGAGCAAGAAGGACAGGCCGCAGAGATTCAATAGTGGCAATACCCGGAATATAGGAAATAATGCTGATTAAAGACTCATAATCCGGCCCCAAACCATTAATGGTATATTCAATGACATCACGGTTGCTAACGGGTGAATTAATGGAATTAAGATTGTCAGCCAATAGTTTAACTTCCAATAAGTATTGGTCAATAGTTTGGGACTCCTTCTTCTTTATATGAGACAACTGGCGTTTAAGCTCTATAGATCGGGCCAAACAAGCAGACATAAACCGTGTTTCAAGAGACTCCCAAATGCGTGCAGAGAATTTTAAATCATATACCTCCATGAGAATGTCGCGTGATAATGTAGCAAATAGCCATGACCGGACAGTTTGATCAATCTTAAGCCAGTAATGATACTCAGGATTGGGTACCTCCCGTTGATGAACATCAGTAATAAGTTGTGGCGGAGCCAAGACGGAACCATCTAGAATCCCAAGAAGACTGTGGGAAACCAGAAACGATTCGAATTGGGTACGCCATGGAAGGTAGTCCTCGACTGCCTTCAACCGAGTAGTGACAATATTTGTCACATTAGGCGTGGAGAAGGTCAGTTGAGAAGCCAAGGAACCCAAAAAGGAAGAAGCAGTGGAAAAACCTGGCGTGAGAACTGACTGATGCGGCAGAAGAGGAGATGTGCCCGGCTGTCCAGAGAAAGTAACGCCGGTAAACGTAGGCAGTGAAGACGAAGAAGGACCCGGCTGACTGGTGGAGAGCAGGGGAAGGCTCTGTGAAGAAGATGATCCGATCAATACAGGAGGAGGTCCAATCGGTGCTGTCATCGGCGGAAGAGAGGGTACAATTGTTGCTGGATTCCACGTGAAAGGAGTGGGCATACCAAACATCCGATAGGAGTCCAATGAAGGCAGAATCGGGGGATCATGCATGGACCCAAAACGGCGAACTGATGGGGAAGAAAAATCCAGCGAGGAAGAGGAGAATGGCTGCACCGGAATACTGGAGGAGGGCGCCATGCTGGTACTATTTGCGACCGCCGAAGAAAAAGAAGCCGGAGCAGATGTGGAGGACCCGGCAGCAGTAGGGATTCCTGAGGCGGAGGTATCGTGCGACATATTCAGCGGAAGAGAAGAATACCTAGGCGACTGATACCATATACAATATTATGGAATTATGGCTTACCCTAATAGGGAGCCCTGATGGTATATTTATACTAAACAGATGAAATAAGAGAATTACAAATATGTCCCGATATTTCTATCTATTAATAATGTTACTTTGTGCCTTAGCGTGTATATATAGATTCTTTCTTGCTAAATACAAATACTCCCCGCATCGGTTTTGATCCCACAATTAAGTTTATATTTCACTCTTTTGAGTTAAATTTTATTAACTTTAATTTGAGCATTCAAATATTATCAAGTAACGTAAAAACAGTTTGGAATATTTCATTTCAATATGTATTAATATTATTGAAGTCTTATTACTTTACTATAAATAAATTTTATAAGTGTATATTTTTATAAATATGACATTCATGGACAGAGGTCAAATGTCAATGTTTGAAACCGCGAAATTGGAAGAGTGAATTTAATTGATGGATTGGAATTAGTTTATTTGTTAATGATACTGATGAGAAAGTATTTAAAGTTTATGAATATATGTTTTAAATTTGTATGCCAAGATTTTCATTAAAAGTTCTATTTTCTATAAGAAATTAATAATAGTGAGGATATCAGAATGAAAATGAATTATTGTTATCAACAACAAAATAAAACTGTATATCATTTTAGCTACGTTAGAAGTATTATTTTGAAATTCTCTTTGCTAAAATGATACCCTCCGTCCCACTTTGGATGTCTTACTTTCCCTTTTTGGTTGTCCCAAAATAAATGTCTTGTTTCCTTTATTGGCAAGAAATATGTGGTTCTTATCATTTCACTTTATTCTACTCAAATCTCAACCACAACTTTTACTTTTCAACCACTTTATTAATAAGCGTGTCAAATTGAAAGTGGACAACCAATATAAGGGACGGAGGTAGTACTATTTCAGTCATTTTCACACAATATTCACTTATGGAGAAAGTACGTAGGAGCTGGTGGGAAGAATAAACAAGGGATTGGAGATTAGAATACATGGATCTTTATATAATATAAAGTAGCAAAGTTGCTATTACTATTGGAGGGAAAATTCCTGCCCAAATTAAGGATGTAATTAGGAACATAATAATGGGAATTTATGTAAAATGTATAACTGAAATCTTGCCCGTCCGAAAAGCATCGTATGAAAATGAAATTATGGTAAGATTGGAGCATTTATTGGCCAATCTTAAGAAAGTATTGTAAGATATACGTAGTATAATTTACTACTACATGTAATACACCGTATGTTGATTAAACACGTACTCCTAAAGTTATACACATGTCACATATATGTATATGGTAAGAAATGTATTTGATATCATGCGTGTCACATATATATGGTATGAAATGATTTTTAATCGACTAGCAACTACCAAGTAATTTCAAGTGTTTCAAAGTCTATGTAAATACATCTTCATAATAAAATAATTTTCAATTTATCTTAAAATGTATTTCCAAATGATTAAATAATTTTTCTAATTTTCTAAATTTTATAATAATCAAACTACTAAATTGGTATGAATGTTTAGTTTTATTAAATTTTCTAACCCTCTCTTAGAGTGCTATATCGACTAAATCTGAATTATGAAAAACTATATTTAAATACATTTTATTAATAAAATAAAAAAAGAATATATGAAAATGATTAAAATGGTCTTTTACAGTATGTCTAACCAATTCAGCCAAATTAGTAAATGCAACCTTACTTATTTTGATTACTATACAATTTAGCGCGTGAAACCAAGAGTTATGCTTTTAGTAAAAAAGATTGGTTGATAAGGTTAACAAGCTAAAATTGGGTTTACCAAACGGGTTGTAGATATATAGTACTACATTTGTCCCAAATGTAAGGTATATGTGGGTTTGGTGTGGGTATTAAGAAAATAAATGATAAAATGATGATTTTTAAAATTGTAACACTCAAAAGTAAGAAAGAGCACGATGTGTCCAGAAAGAGTAAAAAATATACTCCCTCTGTTCTTTATTATTAGTCCCTCTAGGCTTTGGCACGAGTTTTAAGAGGAAAGTAGTAGGGTAAGTATAGAGTGTGTAAGGTAAATATTAAAGTAGGAAAAAGAGTATATTAAAAAGAGTGAAGTAATGATAAAGTAGGAAAGAGAGTGCATTAAGAAGAGTAAAGTGATGGTAAAGTAGGAAAGAGAAAGTAGTTTGTAAAAAGTAAGTGGGGTAAAATCGAGATGCTGAACAAGCATGTTTTTTATTTTCAAAACGTCTGTTTCAACAATTGTTGGTGGATGTATATAGTACAATTGAATCAACTCGATTGTACTATTACAGAACTCATCAGAAGGAAGTTAGGGCGAACATGTATAAAGGAATCAAAGAGGCCGTCCTAAGTGGTGATAAAGTGATTGAACAAGTATTCATATTTTTTTAGACAATTAATTAAAAAATGAAATGTATGTTACAAAATGAAACAGAGAAGAGTGTATATTTTATTTCTATCTCTTATTTTAATTTTGTCTATTATAAGTGACCGATGGAAATGGAATTATAAAATAAAACTGAAATAGAAGTCAATACAAATAGAAATAAATAACGTTAATGGCAAATTAAATATTTGATGTAGAACAACTTAATTTGTTTTATACACTTAAGAATAAAAAGAGAATATTACTCGAAATAGGACTAAAAGGTTTGAAATTTTCAAAATAGGACTGTCATGTTTTTATTCCCAAAATAGGACTAATTATTGTCACGTTTTGGCAGTACCAGACTTCAAACATGACGGCATTTTCCAAATTTGGCAGTAATTACTACTATTTTAGGAATAAAAAACATGACAATTCTATTTTGGAATTTTCAAACTGTTTTAATCCTATTTCAGGAACTTTTCCTAATAAAAATTGTGAGGTTTAGACTGCATCAAAAGAGTGCCAGTATAATGATTAACTGTACTGGTGCCCACTTCAAAGGTAATGGGTTACGATGGCTACAGACGGATATGGAACACGTATGTATAAATCTTAATCTTCCAATTACCAATACATGCTAAAGCATAAATTACTTTCTCCTATGTAGTAAATGTAATTTTCTCCATTTTAACTATATCAATTTAATACGGGTATCTACCAATGTATTGTATATGTACACTAAGATACATTCATTGTTCAATGAGTAATTTTTAGTAAAACAAGCTTCAATCTGAGTAACATTTTAACAAGCAGATCACCAATATATATAAGAATTTATTATATTTGAATAATGTTTGGTTAAGGCGATCACCGATCTTTTCAAATCACATCCCAGTTCAAGGATGTTGATCTTTAACATAGAAGAGATTCTATGATAGGTTTGAAAGCATAACAAAAAACATATGATAGATTATATGGGACTTGGATCCACGGCCCATGCACCCTTAGATACATAACGGGCTCAAGCCCGTCACACTACTAAAGGCCTCTCAAACAAGCCCGGTCCAAAATTAAAATAACGACTCTCTTTCCATATAGTCACCTCAGGGGGCATCACCTTGGTGATGACACCTTGACCATAGAACCCAGATAGTCACTCACAAACTAGGACAACACTAGACCCGAGGTGCACCCCTGCACCTCAACCATCATCACCTCGGCCCACAAATTAAAGAACACTTTGGCAGAAGTCAGTCAAGAAATGGCACACGTTAGTTTATGCTATGTTACATGACTCTCGCCAATAGATTAGGCGACATGTGTAGTGCATTTAACACAAGTTCTTTCTCTCTTTGAATTTTAACTCTCCATTCTCTCTATTATATCACTAGCGGTTACCAGTAAACTATTACCAGACTATACTATCCTTTTATATTCATAAAATAACTACTTACTCCCCCCGTTCCGTAAACAACTTCCCACTTTCCTTTTTGGGCAGTCCCGAAATTAACTTCACACTTCAATACTTTCCTTATTTAGCAAATTATCTACATCAAAACAATGCCAAACAATGTCCAAACAGTGTTGAAACAGTGCAAAACAGTGCACTCCATAATAAAGTCAAATTTATTTCCTTAACCTGTGTGAAGTCAAAGTGTGAAGTTATTTGCGCGATAGAGGGAGTATTATGTACATTAGAATAAATATAATTTCAAGCAAATTGTTGTTTTGCTCTAGATGTACCCGTGCATCGCACGGGTATTTCGTCTAGTTATTTAAATACTCCGTATTAGCTAATTTAATAGTGAAAAGGCAGTTACAAAAATTTCTCCATCGAGGGACTATCGAGAATGTTTTCTTTTCGTTGATATTTTAGCTACGCTTTATTCTATCCAATCCCTTACATATATATTTAAGTAGTTTTTGTAACGTGCTTTGCGCGATGGGAAGAATGCCCAATATTGTATCATCCATATAAAATTGACATACATCTTTTATCGGGGAAATGTAAATATACACAACTTCAACCAAAAAAGTTATGTACAAGATTAACGGGTATTAGTCCAAACACTCAAGGAAATGCGACATATCTCATAAACGACCATCCTCACCACATCGGGAAAATTATAATCATGTCTTTGACCAATAATAAATTCTAAATGGTAAAAAACTTGAGAACAAAAAAAAAATGTAACATATTGGTGTTGTATGGTTATATCAAAACAAAAACAAGTTAAGAGGCTGAGTAGCATCCTCCGGGTTCAGCCACACAACTCACTACGTACATAATTATAACAATTAAACCTTAATTGCATACTTTCTTAAAGGGAAATACTTGTCTAACAATTAAATCTTAATAGCTAGCATACTTTCTTAAAGGGAAATACTTCTCTAACAATTAAACCTTAATAGCTAGCATACTTTCTTAAAGGGAAACATTTTTGGATTCTTCTGCCTTTCAGTCTTTAGAGATGCCCGGTGCTTAGTGAGGCATCTGCAGATGTCTCTGGTCTTCCTACTTTCCTAGGACGTAGATCGAGGGGAAATACTTCTGGTTCTTGTAACCTATCCTTAGTGACACTTCATGTGTCGGGAAAATCATAGTTAACGCTTGAGCAATTGACATCCTCACCACCTTAGTCTTGGAGAGCTTATTGGGGGAGCCTCCGGTGACCTTGGCAACTCAGAGTGAAGGGAACTCCACCTTCAGAGCCTAAAAGTTCAAACCTTTACACGTGCGTTGCGCAATTGTTTAATTGTCCAATATTATTTATGTAGGATAGATTTTTTCTAATATTTAGTCGGGATACGAGTAAACTATCCAAAGAACATATAATCAGCACAAATGACTGCATACAACAAAAAATTGTTATGGTTCTGCATTTTAAATTCATCCATCTCTCAACAAATTGTTATCCTCACAGGTATCCAAATGCTTGCTTGAACTGGAATTTATATAGCAGAAAATCTACAAAAGCAATACAAATCCCTATTATAGAAACATACTAAAGTAGTCACACATAAATTGCTTAAAGTCATGCTTTGAGTACGTTCAACTCTCATTTTTACAAACGAAAGAATTGACACTACCTTGTCCCTAGGGACTAAAACGAAAAGATGGAAACCAATGGTTACACTCAACTTTCATTTTTACAAAAATTAATATCGACAGATTAAAAAGGTTGACTTGACTACAAGTTTGGATATTGACTAAGTTTTTACTAATATCATTCTAATATTGATTTTTGACTAAGTTTATCAAAACTAAATGCAAATTGGATATTGACTTTCATTCCGTTTTCCTTTGTTGATAAGAGCTTTACCATAACTTATACTCCGTATGCTTTTTACTTTTTTAGTGGTTATGCTCGCACCATCTAGACTAACACTTTGAGGAGTGAACATCATCAAAACAAGTTAATACGTAGGAAAATTAGTTTATTTTTGGAACAGAGAGAGTTATGTTCTTTGTGTGTTAAAGAAACTGACATGTTGAACCTGCTTGATTAGTACATTCGTACAAGTGAGTTCTCAATAACTTTGTTTGAAACAGTTACCTTAATTGGCACCAAAGGAGACGAAGCTCCTGCATCAGTAGCATCTGTCTAGACTGGGGCAGTCTGCCCAGCCTTGCTATTACCAAAAATCCCAGAATTATCTACTGCAACAGTAGAATTTTTCACAGGAGCGTGAGACTCCCATGCCTTACTGGAATTCGCCCCAGCTTGTTTCTTCCCAGAGGGAAGAACGGGGAATTCTTCATCAATGTCAGCAAAGATGGCAAGTTGGACCTAGTAGCTCTCACTGTTGGTGGCTCCACAATCTTCTTCCTCGCCATAATAGTTGACAAGGGGTACATCAGACTACCTCACCAAGGAAACTAAGAAATCCAACCAAGTTCCAATTAACACAATCAAACTCAAATCGATTGATAAAATCAGAAGGTATCATCTGAGCGTAGTATTGAAACCATCCTTAGAATAAAGCAGTTCGCTGTACTGCGCTCGTCTTCACCCACAGCTCAGGCCCAGGAGAGGTCGTCGATTAGACTGAGTACAGGTAGCTTGACTTCCAAACAATCAGAAAATAGGATGACTAGGCTCGCCCTGAGGTGGGGAATCCCAAACCAGTCCCAATTTCAAGGTAACAGCAAGCTAATCCTGGTATTCAGTGAAAACTTCAAGAAACGTGAACAATGTTATTGCAATTTCTAACCTTTGTTTTCTGGGGTTTGGGCATAAATCCACCTTCCTAACTCAAATCCAAGGATGAATTTAGGTTTTAGATGGGATTATAGCTTCGAATAGCAAGAAGCAATCAACATCGACCACGAATTTCTCAGAATCAATACGGAAAAACGAACTCGGTCGTGAAACCCAGGAGAGAGACTCTCTCAACGTTTTTCATCTTTATAAAGTTGTATGGATGAGAGAAAACGCTGGATTGAGAAACCCAGCAGAGAGAAGCTCTCAAGCGTTTTCCTCTTCATGATAATACCTTAAACCATAAGAAGGTAGAAAGGAAAGAAGCAGGTTCTGGCACGTTGTGGAATTGAAAGGGATAATACACATGTATGGTAATCGAGATGGAATTGAGCCAGAGGTTTAACTGAGGATGTAGAGATAAAAACGTTACCATCTACCGACTTCGTATACTCCATGCTGAGCACCGTGCTCTGATATGCACTAATTAGTAGTGCATAAATGTATATTTTTATGTTTGATTTGTGTGTATCGTTTACCATTTTAATTAGTTTGTAAACATTGGTTTTTATTTGGTTTGTAATTTTTTTAGCTTCCATTTATAAGTTGCAAACTAGTGGTAGAGTTTTTGGCAAGGAAAATGAGGAAAAACAAGAGGAATGCTGCCCAAGGACACTTACCCGGTCGGGTAGGAATACTCACCCGGTCGGGTACGATTTTACAAGCGAAAGTGCCTGAAAAATCACTGGACCTGGTCGGGTCCACTACTTGACCCGGTCGGGTCCCCTACTTGACCCGGTCGGGTCAGATGTGACCTGGGACAAAATGTGTAACACCGTCCCCAAATGTATTTACTTTTACGTAAATGATGTAATAAACCTTATGGAATGATTTATGAATTTACGAAGTTGTAAATTTTTATTAATTCTTTCGCGTGAATAGTAAATTGCACGTGGGACCCACACCGGGAGCGGGGGCCGCCCGACATTCCCGAGACCATATATTTTATTCATATTGGTCTAGATAATAAATATATAGTGGTGGATATTTCATTTGGGCCATGGAAAGGCCCGGAGTTGACCGATTGGTCAAAAGAAGCCCAAATTACCGGTACTGGTAATTTAACAGATAACAGCCCGAACTGAATTTCGGAGACTTCTAAATTATTGTTTTGGAATATATATGATTTTAAGAGGCCATTACGACTGGGAACACATAATATATTTTATTTGACCCGATAAAATAAAATATAATTAAAACAGTCCGAAAAATACAACTTTCGGGACCGATTGCACACATCGGGACACAAAAGGATGACCTCCCACATGAGTGGGGGCCACCCCACGTTTTTTATGCTCAAATTTACCAAGGGGAGGCCAATAGTACACATGATGGGAGGGTGAGACATTTGGAGACATCAAAAGGGTCCCTCTCTCACTTATTAGCTAAATGAGACAAAAGGAACCCATCCCCCTCCTTCCTCATCATTGTACTTGGCCAAGACATCAAGGAGGAGCAAGAGAGATCTCTCAAACCAGCCTCCATTGTTGCAGCACGAGCTCAAGGAGAAGGTGGTCCAAAAGAGAGGATTTAAGAAGGAAAAAGTGAGGAAAAGCTTGGATAGTTAAGGTAATGACCTTATATTAACTTTTCCTTTATTTTTTTTTCTCTACCATATGAAGTATATATCATATGAAGGACCTTTAGTATGGTTCCACATGTTATAAGTATGGATTTATGGGGTGGAAGATGGTTCTAAGTCCAAGAACGGACTTAGAAGCCAAAACGACCGGTTCACCGGAAAATGACCTTTTAGAGGTTATTTGTATTAATATGGGGTTTATGATTATAAAACCTTGTTAGGCACTTGTAAAGGGTATTTCAAGTGATTTCACAAAGTTGGAAAAGTCGCCGGAATTGTCGCCGGAGTTTCACCGGAGTTCAACCAAGAAGGGTAGGACTTCTTAACGCTAGTTCAAGGTGAGTGGACGGCTTAATATCTTATAACTTTTGGGTTAATTATGAGATTACCTAAATAAATATTACATGAGTTCATAATGATGTTTAAAAGATATTTAAACATGTGATTAGCCAATAGAGTTAAGTTTGTATGAAAGAAATTAATTGTTGATGCATGGAATATGATATGAAGAATTATATTAAATGCATATTTGTTAGAAGTGTATTAGAAGCACAAATGAATATTATTAACTTAATTATATGATGATTAAGTTGATACACACAAGGCATGAAATGGCGGTCAACGAAAACGTTGACCGATAGACAAAGGATTTAATTAATACCAATTGATATTAATTAATTATAAATCTATATAAATGCATGGTTTTGCATGAATTGTGATACATAAGCTTTATGTATTGAATTAGTTATGAGTAACTAAGTATGATATGGACTCTATCTAGGTTGATAGAAGGTTGATCATAGGAAAATATTTTGGTGGAGGACCCTAAGACTTAAAAGTTCTTAACACTCGGATTATAAATTGGTGGAGGACCCTAGGACTTAAAGTCCTTAACACTCGGATTATAAATTGGTAGAGGACCCTAGGACTTAAAGTCCTTAACACTCGGATTATAAATTGGTGGAGGACCCTAGGACTTAAAAGTCCTTAACACTCAAACTTGGTGGAGGACCCTAGCACTTAAAAGTACTTAACACTCAAAACTTGGTGGAGGACCCTAGGACTTATGAGTCCTTAACACTCACAAACCGGTGGAGTACCCAAGGATTATGATCCTCAAAACTCATAGATTATGATATTGAAATAGGGACAAGGAGGAGTCTTATACACTCATAGGTATATGGGTGGGTTGGGGTTTTTAGTCAAGAATATTGACTATTACTATTTTTCCCAAATAAAACGGTGATCTACGGATCGAATATTTTCCAAGTATATATATACTAATAAGTATTTCATAACTTGGGGGAAAGACTATTTATATAAGTATCACCCTATGTTTGGGTCTTATACTTGAAACGCCAGTTATTCTATATTTAGCCTGCTACTCGCTCGGTACTTGTACTGACCCCTTCGGGGGGCCCCACCATTTTCAGGTTGAAGCTAGAGCTTGCTACTTGCACCTTCTCACGGGTGATATCACTTCAGGAAGACGTGGTTCGTGCTTCCTTATTTTCTTTCAAACTACCGAACACTTGCTCATGGATATTTGTTCAACTATAAACTATGTTTGGGGCTTGCATGCCCATGTTGTTGGCTGGTTGTGGCTTATGACTTACCGTTGAATATTTCCGCTATTCATTGGTTTAAATGTGATGTTGTTATGTATGTTTACTACTGAGTATGGATGGATTATTTTCTCGAACGCCTTGTGTAATTAAGTGAGGTTGACTCGCGGGTGACGTCTCTTAATTATACGGCGGTTGTACACGCGCTTGGATTGCGTTTTGGGGCGTGACAATTAAGTGGTATCAGAGCCATCTCAGTTCTAAACTATATAATCAACCTCTCACAAAAGATTTTACAAAAGAGTTTTTACCGAAAACCATGAGCATTGTATTTTGACGTTTATAGGACTACTGGTGCTTAAGTTACAAGGCCTCTAATTGTTAAGACGGTACCCTTAACAATTGGTATGGTGGTGACTTGGGCCAATACGTGTCTGTAACGTTCTTCCGTCAATTGACATTTATAGGAGTCTAATGACTCATTCATATTTCTTTCAGAAATGGAGGGCAGGCGAATGACAACCAGGAACAATCCGAGGGGGCAGGCGCCGGTAGCATCCAAAAGGGGAAGCCGGGCTGCATCTCGGGGTTCAAGAGGAGGCCGTGGGGGCCGTGGAAGCCGTGGAGGTCATAGGGCTCAAACTGTGAGCGACGGCCATGTTAGTTCGGTGTATGAAACCAACACCGAAGACTACGACTCTACATATGTTCCGGAAACGGAGCATGAGGAGACCCCATATGATGGGGGTGACACATACACCGATGATGATGATGAAGAGAGTGATGCTAAGTTCGCCCAAATGGGCGAATTGTTTGAGTGGTATCAAAAAGAAAAACTGAGGAGAGACCTTAGGTGCCAAGCAAGGCGTGGCTCTTGCGGTGGTTCGGGTCAAGGAAGCCGGGGAGCTTCAAGGGCCACTCCTGCGGCGTCACATGACGGGCGTGAAGGAGGTTTTTGTGTGAGAATCTCCAAGTACCTCAAGGAGGCTAGGGCCTTGGGGTGTAAGTCCTTTGACGGCACCGGTGACATTACCGTTGCCGCCGATTGGATAACGAAGGTGAAGGATGCGGCAAAGGACATGCAAATTTCACCGGACGTGAAGTTGACTGTTGCTTCACGGCTGCTTGAGGGGATAGCTTCCACGTGGTGGAAGAGTGTAGAAGGAAAATACCATGGGGAGGTCTCGTGGTTGAATTTTGAGCGGGAATTTTATGACCAATACTACACTGACTACGAGAAAAATGTCAAGCGTAGGGAGTACACCAACCTCAAACAGAAGGAGGGTGTTTCTGTTAAACAGTTGGAGCAAGATTTTAGAACCTTGACTAGGTTCTTGCCGGAGTACGCGATTAATGAGGACCGCATGTCGGAGCATTTTTGGGATGTCTTACTCTTGGACATCCGTGATCGGGCTACGTACTCGCGCCACATGACCTTTAGCGAGGTGGTGGAGCAGGGCCTTCTTGGGGAGGCTCAATGGAATGAGAGAAAAGAAAGAGACGCCGAGGAGGCAAAGAAGAGAGAATGGCATAATTCGGGGCCGCTCGAGCAAGCACGGAAGAATAACCACGGTGGGGGTGGTGGTACGTTCAAGGCGCCGGCACCACCGGCGAAGAAGAACAAGGATGCTCGGTGGCACGCATCCTCCTCTCAAAATATGGGGCCTCCTAAGTGTGCCAACTGTTTAAAGAATCACTTCGGGAAGTGCAACGCACCCCCGAGGTGTTATCGATGTGGGAACACGGGCCACATGAAGGCCAATTGCCCACAATCGGGGGGAGAAGGAGCTCCGGGATCCGGAGGAGGAGCCATGACGGGAAGAAACCGTGCGGGCCCGTCAAACGGCGGTACGGGAAGAGGCGGCGCGTCCACAAGTCATGCCGCGTCCGTAAATCAAGGCGGGACCCAAGCACGGGTGTACGCAATGACCGAGGCGGATGCGCGAGCAAACCCGGACTCCGTTGCAGGTAATACACTTATTTTCCTCTATTTCTAGGCTTGTTTGGGGTCATATGAGTCATTGGGTTTGGGTGCGGGCCACCCCGGGGTCAAACCCCGCGAATTCGGGGCGAAACGGGCTAAAAACAACTACGCGCGATCGCGCGTACCCACAGACACACGACCGTGCGTGCGAGGCAGTAGCCTCTGGCCTTATTCCGCACAGACGCACGCCGTGCGTGCAGGTAAGGCACGTCGTGCGTGGGACGCACGATCGTGCGTGACCAGCTACGCACGATCGTGCGTAGCCGGCAGTGGCGGATTCCGAATTTCTCACGCACGCACGACCGTGCGTGCCACCCAGGCACGCCGTGCGTGGACCCCCAACACCCGAAAGTTGATTTTTTCGCCCCGTTCTTCTACGTTTGGACCCCCGTTTGATTCCAAACATTAGTATGAACCTAATAACCTCCTAAAGATGTGTAAGAACATTAGAAAATGTATCTTACATGGTGTATAAATGTAGGAACATTAAAGATCAATGGTAGGTGTGGGAGGATCCTCATCAATACCGGGGCACAACGCTCATTTGTGAGTGAGGCGTTCGCCGAGGGCCTTGACGTGCCATTGACACCTATGACTCAAACGTTGCTAGTCTCCACACCGTTAGGAGACGACGTGGAGAGAAATCATTACTATCCGTCGTGTGAGGTAGAAGTGACGGGTCAACCTTTGACTTGTGATTTCGTACCTCTAAGCATGTTGGAGTTCGATGCAATCCTAGGAATGGATTGGCTCGAGAAACACCATGCTCGAGTAGATTGCTACACCAAGGTGTTGGAGCTCGAGGATGATCAAGGAAACACGCTATGTTTCGAGGGAGATCGGGGGAAATCTAATGCTTGTATCATATCCGTGATGAGAGCACGGAAGATGATGAGGAAGGGATGCCACGCATACCTTGTCTACGTGGTGGACGATACCAAGAAGGAAGTCGACATCAAAGATGTACGGGTCGTGTGCAAGTACCCGGATGTCTTTCCCAACGACCTACCGGGGCTTCCACCCGATAGAGAGATAGAGTTTGTAATTGAAGTGGAGCTGGGAACCAAACCCATTTCGATTCCTCCTTATCGAATGGCGTCGGCCGAACTCCAAGAGTTGAAGGTCCAACTACAAGAATTACTGGACAACGGGTTCATCAGACCCAGTCATTCACCGTGGGGAGCACCCGTACTCTTCGTAAAGAAGAAAGATGGTACACTAAGAATGTGTATCGACTACCGACAGTTGAACAAGGTCACAATCAAGAACAGGTATCCTTTACCTAGGATTGATGATTTGTTTGATCAACTTCGAGGGGCTATAGTATTCTCGAAGATTGACTTGAGGTCGGGGTATCATCAGTTGAAGATCAAGGAGAGTGACGTATCTAAGAGTGCATTTCGCACTAGATATGGTCACTACGAGTTCCTTGTGATGTCATTTGGTTTAACCAACGCACCGACAGCATTCATGGACTTAATGAACCGTGTGTTCAGTGAATACTTAGACCAATTTGTGATAGTATTCATTGATGATATCTTAATATACTCCAAGAGCGAGGAGGAGCATGAACATCATTTGGGGCTTATACTTGATCGGCTAAGGGAAAAACAACTCTTTGCCAAGTTCTCTAAATGCGAATTTTGGCTCAAGGAGATTGGTTTTCTCGGTCACGTCATATCCGATTCGGGCGTTGCTGTGGATAACGCCAAGATAAAGGCTATCATGGATTGGGAGAGACCCAAGAATGTGAAAGAGATACGTAGTTTCCTTGGCTTAGCGGGATACTATCGTAAATTTGTTGAAAAATTTTCTGTATTGGCATCCCCATTAACGAAGCTCACAAAGAAAGGGGCCAAGTTTGTATGGGACGACAAGTGTGAGAAAGGGTTCCTTGAACTGAAGAAACGACTTACCAGAGCACCAGTCCTAGCCCTACCCATACAGGGGATAGGGTATGATATCTACAGTGATGCTAGCATCTAAGGGCTTGGATGTGTACTGATGCAAAACGGTAAAGTAATTGCCTATGCTTCAAGGCAATTGAGAAAGCACGAGGTGAACTACCCTACCCATGATCTAGAATTGGGGGCGATAGTGTTTGCACTGAAAATCTGGAGGCATTATCTCTACGGGGAGACATGTCACATTTTTACAGACCATAAGAGCTTGAAGTACGTATTCACTCAGAAAGAGTTGAATATGAGGCAGAGGAGATGGATGGAGTTGATCAAGGACTATGACTTGATCATCGACTATCATCCCGGAAAGGCCAATGTCGTGGCCGACGCACTGAGCAGGAAGAATACGTCAAGGACGCTACTCACTTGTCTGCAGGCATTGAGGGCACGTGTGGAGGTGTCCACGTGCGGGGCTCTCATTGCTCAATTTGAGGTTAGGCCCACCCTATTGGGCGAGATTAGTCGAAGTCAGGCCATTGATGAGGAATGTCAGAAGATCCATGAAAGGATCCTTGAAGGACCCGTTGAGAACTTCCGAGTACGTGATGACGGTCTATTATTGTTTAAGGATCGTGTATGCATACCAAAGAATGAGGAACTCCAGAAGTCTATACTTGAGGAGGCTCATTCTTCAGCTTATGCTATGCATCCAGGAGGTACCAAGATGTACCGGGATTTGAAGGAAAGTTACTGGTGGTCAGGTATGAAGAGAGACATCGCAGAGTATGTGAGTCGATGCCTTACTTGCCAGCAAGTTAAGGCAGAACATCAGCACCCGGCAGGGCTTTTGCAGCCACTCACCATCCCAGAGTGGAAGTGGGAGCACGTGACCATGGACTTCGTGGTGGGGCTACCACGAACAGTGAACAACTATGATGCAGTTTGGGAAGTGGTTGATAGGCTCACCAAGAGTGCACACTTTTTGCCTATCAACATTACTTATCCTCTAGAAAGATTGGCCAAGCTATACACGGAGGAGATTGTGAGATTACATGGAGTCCCAATATCCATTGTCTCGGATAGGGATCCACGATTCACATCCCGATTTTGGCCAAAGTTTCAAGCATCGTTGGGTACTAAACTGAAGTTTAGCACAGCTTTTCACCCACAGATGGATGGACAGTCCGAACGGGTGATACAGATTTTGGAAGACATGCTTAGGGCATGTGCGCTGGAGTTCCAAGGAAGTTGGGACAAGCATTTGGCCCTAGTGGAGTTTGCTTATAACAACAGTTATCAAGCAAGTATCGGCATGCCTCCATATGAGGCATTGTATGGGAGGAAATGCAGAACGCCGTTATGTTGGGACAAGGTTGGCGAGGCCAAACTCGAAGGGATAGAGCTGGTTGAGATCACCAAGGCCAAGGTAAGGATCATTCGGGATAGATTGAAGGCTGCTCAGGACCGACAGAAGAGTTATGCTGATAAACGGCGGAGACCGTTGGAGTTCGAAGTCGGTGATGAGCTCTTCCTAAGGATTTCTCCTTGGAAGGGCATCATTCGATTTGTATCGAGAGGAAAGCTTAACCCCCGATACATTGGTCCATTTGAGATCCTTGAAAGGATTGGAGCCGTGGCTTATCGTCTCAAGTTAATACCGGAACTTGAGAAGATACATGATGTGTTTCATGTATCAATGCTCAAGAAGTACATACGGGATCCCTCTCATATTCTTGAGAAACCGCCGGTAGAGATCCGTGAGGATTTGCAATATGCGGTAGAGCCGGTGAAGATAGTAGGTCAACAAGTGAAGAAACTTAGGAACAAGGAGATTCCTATGGTAAAGGTTCTTTGGAGGAGTGATCGAGTTGAAGAGGAAACTTGGGAGACCAAGGTCTCAATGAGGGAGCAATACCCATTCCTTTTCGATTAGACACGTGGATTTCGGGGACGAAATCCCAAATAAGAGGGGGTGAACTTGTAACACCATCCCCAAATGTATTTACTTTTACGTAAATGATGTAATAAACCTTATGGAATGATTTATGAATTTACGAAGTTGTAAATTTTTATTAATTCTTTCGCGTGAATAGTAAATTGCACGTGGGACCCACACCGGGAGCGGGGGCCGCCCGACATTCCCGAGACCATATATTTTATTCATCTTGGTCTAGATAATAAATATATAGTGGTGGATATTTCATTTGGGCCATGGAAAGGCCCGGAGTTGACCGATTGGTCAAAAGAAGCCCAAATTACCGGTACTGGTAATTTAACAGATAACAGCCCGAACTGAATTTCGGAGACTTCTAAATTAATGTTTTGGAATATATATGATTTTAAGAGGCCATTACGACTGGGAACACATAATATATTTTATTTGACCCGATAAAATAAAATATAATTAAAACAGTCCGAAAAATACAACTTTCGGGACCGATTGCACACATCGGGACACAAAGGGATGACCTCCCACATGAGTGGGGGCCACCCCACGTTTTTTATGCTCAAATTGACCAAGGGGAGGCCAATAGTACACATGATGGGAGGGTGAGACATTTGGAGACATCAAAAGGGTCCCTCTCTCACTTATTAGCTAAATGAGACAAAAGGAACCCATCCCCCTCCTTCCTCATCATTGTACTCGGCCAAGACATCAAGGAGGAGCAAGAGAGATCTCTCAAACCAGCCTCCATTGTTGCAGCACGAGCTCAAGGAGAAGGTGGTCCAAAAGAGAGGATTTAAGAAGGAAAAAGTGAGGAAAAGCTTGGATACTTAAGGTAATGACCTTATATTAACTTTTCCTTTATTTTTTTTCCCTCTACCATATGAAGTATATATCATATGAAGGACCTTTAGTATGGTTCCACATGTTATAAGTATGGATTTATGGGGTGGAAGATGGTTCTAAGTCCAAGAACGGACTTAGAAGCCAAAACGACCGGTTCACCGGAAAATGACCTTTTAGAGGTTATTTGTATTAATATGGGTTTTATGATTATAAAATGTTAGTACCCAATTTTGATAGATTTTGATGATGCCACTATACTCTATTTTAGTACATTGTGTCTTAATTAAATTCGAAATTTAGTGACAAAATTAATGTAAAATTTTTGGAACTAAATAAAATTACACTGGAAAGTCAAAATGCAATAAGGTAAAAATTCTTTTACCTTAAAAGGATATTTAAATCCTACCAGTATAATTCTATTTAGCACACAAAATTTAAATGTCACATAAACATATACATTGAATGTATATGATTGAAGACAAAACTTGACCGGCATTTAATACCGGATCAAGTACTGGGACCGCGGCATGGGACGCACACATAATGCAAAACTAAATGATCAGCTGCAAATTAATGCTCCAGCACAAGAAGACATTTGTACTACTTATCCTTGCCAGAGATCTTCAACGACAAGGATTAATCCATCTCAACCAACGGATGAGATTAATCAACCATGAAGGCCTATAAATATAGGTAGAAGCATGAGTTCAAAAATAAGCTTGAGCATCCTAAGTAGAGAAATACTTTCATCAAAGCATATACGAGCTATCTAGCAAAAGAGAAAGTGCAAACTCAACTTTACTCTCTGCTTAGCCTCATGCTTCACTAAGCTCTCAGATTAGATCAACACTTTCACATTTTTAGAGCTTAGTTCATAGTTGGAGGTTAGAACTTTCTTGTAACATTTCACAAGTGGTTGTAAACACTTAGGAGAACAGTTGTTCGGATCCTAAAGTGTGGTTAGATAGATAGAGTACCTTTTGATCCCCACTGGATCGATTGAGAAAAGTCTAAGGACTGAGTAACTTTGAGTGGTGTTATACTCATTGTGAAAAACCTTCAATCTAGGCCTAAGTGTTGTAAAGGCTAGATTGGCACTAAGTGTATTGGGCTGAATACTTTAGTGAAATCCATCTGAAAGAGGGTGGGACTGGATGTAGGAGGATTACACCACCTCTGAACCAGGATACATCGTGTGTTGATTATCCTTTACTCAACAGAGCACACACCCAACACTTCTCACTAAAGGGATCGTAGTTTGCCAGCAGCATCCTAAGCAGTCGTCTTAATTGACTCTACTGCTTATCCTACTGCTTAATAACTCACTTTTCCTTGAGACATCTGTTTCCCACAAGCTTTGAATAACACTACTAAAAGGTGTGGTTGGTCAGTTCTCAGAAATACTCCCTTCTTTCACAGCAGTAATCTTTTGAGAGATTAATAGATGCACAGCGGAAGTCTTTACCCTTTATGTGATGAGAGTTTGACCACTTTCTAATTTTGGAAGATTTGACTTTGAACAGTGAGCAGTTGGCTTGGCAGTTGCCTGGATGGCAGGAAACTGCTGAGGCTGCTGCTAGTGGAAAACTGGAGTTTGGAAGAGATAATTATATGGCCTTGAACAGAATGATGAGGACTTTATGAGTATGTGTAGAGCTAAAGAGAATAAGGAGTTTTGCCTGAGCAGAGGTCTGAGCAGTTGGGTAAACCCAGGGAACTGCTAAGCCGTCTGCTGTGAAAGAAGGGAGTATTTCTGAGAACTGACCAACCACACCTTTTAGTAGTGATATTCAAAGCTTGTGGGAAACAGATGTCTCAAGGAAAAGTGAGTTATTAAGCAGTAGGATAAGCAGTAGAGTCAATTAAGACGACTGCTTAGGATGCTGCTGGCAAACTACGATCCCTTTAGTGAGAAGTGTTGGGTGTGTGCTCTGTTGAGTAAAGGATAATCAACACACGATGTATCCTGGTTCAGAGGTGGTGTAATCCTCCTACATCCAGTCCCACCCTCTTTCAGATGGATTTCACTAAAGTATTCAGCCCAATACACTTAGTGCCAATCTAGCCTTTACAACACTTAGGCCTCCAGAGACAGAACAGCCAACTCAACACAACAAGCAAATGGCTCCACCTTCACCAACAGACCACTCACCAACTCCTCTGCAAAAATTAGGTGCTTAATGGGCTAGAGTCAAAGCTTGGAGAGAATGGAAACTCTCCAAAATTCTCCACCAAGCTCTCCAATTGCTCTGCTTGTGTTAGTCTTTCCCCCTTTTTGGCAACATCAGCAGGGGTGTCGATGTCTCTGAAGAGGGCTTCTATCTCAGGATCGGAGTCAAGGTTTTCTTGTGGTCTCCTTGCAGGGTTGAGGTCATGGACGTCAATGTAGAGTGCATTTACACAATTACGGATGTCCATTATATCTGTCTTGACATCATCTTTGACCTCATTCTCTAATCTTTGGAGCTTGTTTTGTGTAACTACTAGGCTTTGACCTAGCTTTTGAAAATCATACCCTTGCTTCCAAAAGGTGTCCTGAGTAGCTTTTTGAAGAACCTCAAAGTTGTTCTTAATAGCAGTTGTGAACTGCTCATATGCTCGAGCATGAGCCTGCTGCTCTATAAGAAATTTCTGAGAGAGCTTGAACATGGCAGGGAACTCCTCATTCCTTAGTTTCCCAAGATACTCCTCATGCTCCTTTATCATTTGGAAAGCCTGCTCAAGGTTAGGATGGAGGTTTGGAAGAGAAGTCACCTGCTCAGAAGGTCCTGCTACAGTAGGCTGAGGTTGTTGCTGCTTTTGGAGTGCTAGCATTTGCCTTTCGAGGTCCTCATTCTTGGCTTTTAGTGCAGCAATCTCCTGCTTTATTTTATTGGTCAAAGCAGATTGCTGAGAGTTTTTGGTTTGGAGTAGAGCTCTCTGCTCAGCATTGAACACTTGTTGGATCATTGAATCTCTTCTGATGTGGCTGTGGACTTCTCCAAATCTGATATCTAGCCTTTCTTCTAGTTGCTTCTTCAATTTGATGAGTCTCTTGTGTAGTCTGACCTCTGCGCGGCTGATGAACTTTGTGGTAGCCCTTCTTTCTTTGATGAAGACATCGGCCATGGTAGCAGTGTCCTCTTCATTGTCCTCAGGTTCAAGAATGAATGTGTGAGAGTGCTGCTCTATGTTTTGAGTAGACTCTTGAGAGTGTGAACTAGACGTCTGCTCTTGATCAGCAGTGGGCTGATGACCTACTTCCTCCATTGCTTTGGAGGTTTCTCCACCTCCTCTAGTCTCAAATTTGGATTTTTCCAGAGCCATTTGAAGTTCTTTATCACTAGAAGAGGAAGAAGAGATGATTTGCTTACCTCTATTCTGTGGAGGGTTATTTGGACCAGAGTGGTTGTCATCATTATCAGAATCACCATCATCATTTTTATCCTCGGAGTGCTCCTCTGGTGATTCATCAGTCAGCTGCTTCTTCTTTGTGAGATAGACCAGATTCATCTGGTGAAGATTTGTGGCTTTGGCTATGTCTTCAGTTCCAAGCCAGGTGAGAGCAAAGTACTCTTCACTGATGAATTTTGTTAGGGTCCTGGCTTGGTGGAGAATTTTGGAGAGTTTCCATTCTCTCCAAGCTTTGACTCTAGCCCATTCAGCCTCTAATTTTTGCAGAGGAGTTGGTGAGTGGTCTGTTGGTGAAGGTGGAGCCATTTGCTTGTTGTGTTGAGTTGGCTGTTCTGTCTCTGGAGGAGCCATCTGCTCTCCTTGTTGAGTTTCCTGCTCTTCTAATGGCTCCACCTTCACCAACAGACCACTCACCAACACTTAGGCCTCCAGAAAATTATGTCATCAACATAGATTTGAACAAGCAATACGTGGGGACCTTCTCCAATTTTGATTAAAGACTTCCGCTGTGCATCTATTAATCTCTCAAAAGATTATAGATCAACTTCTGTAGAGGGAAAACTTCATAAAGTTGAAAAAGATTTAAAAGTCTATTCACCCCCCCCCCCCCTCTAGACTTTTACCCTATCCGGGACCTTCATAAAACCTTGTTAGGCACTTGTAAAGGGTATTTCAAGTGATTTCACAAAGTTGGAAAAGTCGCCGGAATTGTCGCCGGAGTTGACCAAAAGTCGCCGGAGTTTCACCGGAGTTCAACCAAGAAGGGTAGGACTTCTTAACGCTAGTTCAAGGTGAGTGGACGGCTTAATATCTTATAACTTTTGGGTTAATTATGAGATTACCTAAATAAATATTATATGAGTTCATAATGATGTTTAAAAGATATTTAAACCTGTGATTAGCCAATAGAGTTAAGTTTGTATGAAAGAAATTAATTGTTGATGCATGGAATATGATATGAAGAATTATATTAAATGCATATTTGTTTGAAGTGTATTAGAAGCAAAAATGAATATTATTAACTTAATTATATGATGATTAAGTTGATACACACAAGGCATGAAATGGCGGTCAACGAAAACGTTGACCGATGGACAAAGGATTTAATTAATACCAATTGATATTAATTAATTATAAATCTATATAAATGCATGGTTTTGCATGAATTGTGATACATAAGCTTTATGTATTGAATTAGTTATGAGTAACTAAGTGTGATATAGACTCTATCTAGGTTGATAGAAGGTTGATCATAGGAAAATATTTTGGTGGAGGACCCTAAGACTTAAAAGTTCTTAACACTCGGATTATAAATTGGTGGAGGACCCTAGGACTTAAAGTCCTTAACACTCGGATTATAAATTGGTAGAGGACCCTAGGACTTAAAGTCCTTAACACTCGGATTATAAATTGGTGGAGGACCCTAGGACTTAAAAGTCCTTAACACTCAAACTTGGTGGAGGACCCTAGCACTTAAAAGTACTTAACACTCAAAACTTGGTGGAGGACCCTAGGACTTATGAGTCCTTAACACTCACAAACCGGTGGAGTACCCAAGGATTATGATCCTCAAAACTCATAGATTATGATATTGAAATAGGGACAAGGAGGAGTCTTATACACTCATAGGTATATGGGTGGGTTGGGGTTTTTAGTCAAGAATATTGACTATTACTATTTTTCCCAAATAAAACGGTGATCTACGGATCGAATATTTTCCAAGTATATATATACTAATAAGTATTTCATAACTTGGGGGAAAGACTATTTATATAAGTATCACCCTATGTTTGGGTCTTATACTTGAAACGCCAGTTATTCTATATTTAGCCTGCTACTCGCTCGGTACTTGTACTGACCCCTTCGGGGGCCCCCACCATTTTCAGGTTGAAGCTAGAGCTTGCTACTTGCACCTTCTCACGGGTGATATCACTTCAGGAAGACGTGGTTCGTGCTTCCTTATTTTCTTTCAAACTACCGAACACTTGCTCATGGATATTTGTTCAACTATAAACTATGTTTGGGGCTTGCATGCCCATGTTGTTGGCCGGTTGTGGCTTATGACTTACCGTTGAATAATTCCGCTATTCATTGGTTTAAATGTGATGTTGTTATGTATGTTTACTACTGAGTATGGATGGATTATTTTCTCGAACGCCTTGTGTAATTAAGTGAGGTTGACTCGTGGGTGACGTCTCTTAATTATACGGCGGTTGTACACGCGCTTGGATTTCGGTCTGGGGCGTGACAAAATGACGTGCTGAAACACAAGAACGTGGAAGATTATTTAATTTTGACATGCACCCGGTCGGGTGGGCACTTGACCCAGTCGGGTACCCAACCCAAGGTGTTGAAAAACACCTATAAATAGCACATTTTTCCTTCACAGATAATCATTCCTTCTTCCATACTCTTAAGCTCAGTTTAGAATAGTATTTCTTTTATATTTTTATAGCATGTTTAGTCTCCAAATGAGGATCTAAACTCTCATTTCTTGGTGTTGCTCTTGAAGCTTGTTAATTATTAAAGTTGTGAGTTATTTTCTTAACTTCTTCCCTTGAATATTAATTCTTCCCTTAATCTATCTATATATTAATGTTGAGGAGTGTTGCTAAGATGACAATTAGTTAACATCTCGACATTAGTTATAGTAGTATTCATTTACTTCATATATATTAATGTTGGGGAGTGTTGCTAAGATGACAATTAGTTAACATCTCGACATTAGTTATAATAGTATTTATTTTCTTCCTCTATATATTAATGTTGGGAAGTGTTGCTAAGATGACAATTAGTTAACATCTTGACATTAGTTATAGTAGGATTTATCATCTTTAACAGTCTTCCTTGAATATTAATTAATTCATATTCATATTTCATATTAATATTTTGAACATTACTTAAAGGATCAACTAATTTTGTTTCATATATATTTATTATTACTAGAATCGATCGACGAATTCGCTGATTAATCATTGATGGTTTCACAAGTAAGTAACTTCGGTTTATTAATGCATGGTCGTGGTTAATAAACTTAAGAGGGATTAATTTTGTTGGTTAAACCGAAACCGTTGTGTTGAGGTTATCAATCTCAATTGATTTCATCATGGAGTTAAGGGATTAAATGCTACTATCAAGTCGGTATATGGCGGTGTTCTATACTTGACTAATAGTAAGGATTATTAATGAACGGTCGTTGTTAATAACTACCCTCGATGAATTGAATATACTTCTCGATTGAGTATTCGAGAGGGGATAAATTATAGATATAAAAATGATCGACTAAAATATATCAATAAGTGGAAAGTAGCAATGCCAAGTCCTTTTTATCTTTGAAATAAATCTCATATAAGTCATTCATCTTCGTATTTAATTAAATTAAATCAATTAATCCCAAAAAACCCCTTATTTACTAGTTTTACTAAAAAGAGAATTATTCTTTTCCCTGTGGATACAAACTCTACTTCACATATACTACGTATAAGTGCTAGTATCGAATATTATTTTGACGCACCGTGACAAAGTGCTCGTCATGCTCCCACACCCAAAATGACGTAGTTTCGCATAATTTTTTTTAAAAAATATCGGATGAACAGTAATGCGTGAACAATAACGTGTGAAAAGTAACTGTTTTTTTGTCCCAAGAGCATGAATGATGTAACTCGCGTGTAAATTAATGTAACTCACGTTATTGATCGATGTAAATCAAGTCCAGGCGAAATGTAACTTGTCAAATACATAGTATAAGAAATAAAACATTGATTTCAATGTAAACAATGAAAAAAAGAGTCTGATTGCTCGATTACTTTACATTATATAAATAGTGAATATGTTTTGGTTTTAATATCAGAGACATAATAATTATTTGAAAAAAATCTTTTGTTGTTGTTTCAACAACAGTGGTTATTTGTGATGTAACTCGTGTTAGGCTAAATGTAACTCGTGTTGATAGAAAATGTAACTTACGTGTATGCAAAAAGTAACTTGTTGAGACAAACACAAATGTAACTCGCTCATAAAAAGATGTAACTCACGTACATAAACATGTAAATGGAGTATAAAAATATGTAACTTCATGTATTAAACACACGCTCGCGCGCGCACACACACACACACAGATATATACATATATATACCAATTGATTCCATCGATCAACATCAAAATGGAAAAATTTATATTAATTGAATTTGATTAAAACGCAGCTTAGATGTTAAATGAAAGCAAGGGAATATGCTTTCAAGGGTTATGCGTAATTCCATGATTTCATCGATCAACATCAAGGGTTCTGCTTAGAAAGTTAGAAATTTATGATGTGTAATTCCATCGATCAACATCAAGGGTTACGCTCCTTACTGCTGCGGCAGATTGAAGAGCAGAGATTGAAGAGCTTCTATAAAAACGATGAAGTGGTGGCTCCAGTCGGTGCTGCTCCTTACTGTTGCGGCAGAAGATCGATCGTTCTGTTTATTTTTGCAAGAGGTTGTTTTTGTATCTAACCGATAAACTGATGTAGTTTTTGGGATCGGCACACCATGCTAAAGGTGGGCCGATCCCACGGTATAATTTGTGCCATCTACCTATTTTTTCCAAGAATTGAAGATAACTACACGAAAACGCAAGCAAACGTACACAGTGGAGGAGCTGGGCGGGGGTATGGAGGGACAAGCGCCCCTGCTTCGGGCCAAAAAAATTAGTACTGCTACTTATAATATATTTAATGTTCCCCTTCAGTATATTTTTCAAAAAAAAATACTCAATAAAGACAATTTTAGATTGAATATTAAAACAAAAGGCAAAATCTTTCAGGAAACGTGTCCCTACGAATACAAGTACATATTGATTGCATCATACGTCACTTATTTGAATGCAAGTGTGGATTGTTTTAGACCTTTAACGCCACACAGGTAGACTTTTCATGGTTATAGTGCAATAGAGTATTGAGATTATGTGTTGGATTCCCTCCTTAATGGAAAAATTCATGAGAATTTTAGAATTAGCAAAGATGTCTAGGATTTTGTATATGTGTGTAGAGAAGTATTAAATGTTCTAGAATAGTAATGGTAAGTTTTCTATAAAAGTGTGGAACTCAGTAAACCGTGCAGAAGAGTGTGGAAGCCTCTAAAACATTTTAAAGAATTGTGGAATTCTCTAGATCTTCCATTACATTAGAGAAGCTTGTGGATACTTCTTGGAAGAATGTAGATGTGTAATGGTGCATAAAAAATTCTAAAGAAGCTTTGACGAGATTATAGTATAGATAAGGGTGAGACTGCTCATTTCTATGAAAACATTTTGAGTTTTTAGTGTGTAGATGTGTGTACAAGAGTCCCATAAGCTCGTTTTCCTATGCAAAATTTTGAACATATTAAAACTCGTATGATTGGTTTACCCAAATTATAGATATGAGTCAAGTAGAAATGACTAATTTGCGCTAATGTATTACATTTTTTATTGTTTTAATTTCATTTTGAGAAAACACACCATAAATTTTAACTTTCGGTACGTGCCTCTTCAAAAAATCTATGGCTCCGCCACTGCACGTACGCATAAATTGGACAATCACAAACCTCGGGGAGGTAGCGACTCATAATAAGTGGGAGAGGTCAACAAGAGAAATAGAGAAACAATTTATGGAAATAGGTTGGGGGAAAGAGAAGGATCACAAATGTACATCATGCGTTATTATTGTGATCGTAAAATAGGCGGCTTTATATTAAAATCAAGAATGTATACAAGACAATCTTCAGACAGATTTATAGATCCAAGCGTGAATCCTAAGAGTAGACATAGAATCAGTCACCTCATACAAAGCAATCTGACTCGCTAAACCTGAAACAGGCAAATTTTAGCCTAAAACGAACCCTACCTATCAAAATAACTCTAAAAATTGAAACATTCAAATTAAATCTACTCGAACTAAAACTAAAACTAGTACTACTAAAAAGAAAATAATATTGAAATAAAATCTTTCGATAAAACTCTTCCTGGTATGGAGGTGGTTCTGGAGGAGGAGGGGCTCTTGCAATATGCATGAATACAAACTTGACGACCGTCGGAGCGGCCGACCAAGGTTATCTCTTCCGACATAGTGGTAATCCCAAGCGTCAGAACACTTAAATCAGAACAATCTTCCGCTCCAACCCCATATTGATGGGATGACGGAAAATCTCAACCCCTACAAAGAGGGAAGACGGCCGCTAGGTTTTTAGAGAGAAGCCAAATCTCTCCTTTCTCTTGGTTTCGTATAAATGTACATCATGCGTTACGTTGTGAAATTGTAATGAATTGTATAATTAATATTAAGCTTAGATAATTAACTAAATTAAGTAATGAAATTGGTATAGCAACAATACAAATTTTAATGGGTTAATTATGAAAATAGGACTAAAAGCCTGTTAGTTTGCATAAATAGGACCAAAAAGTAAACTATGTTTTAATGGGACAATTATGTGTGTTGGACAAATATACTCTTGCTCTTATTGAAACGTTTAAATTCATAATAAAATAAAATAATAATAAAAATTCGTTAAAAAAATAATAAAAAAATTAATAAAAATATTTAAATAATAATAATAATCTACAAAAAAATTGAAGAATAAAAATAAAAATAAATGCAAAAAAAAAAAAAACACCGCCTCCCCAGCACCACCAACTCCAGTCACCTGGGGGAAAAAATGCTACATCCTTTACGAATGCCATATTTATGGAAGAAACAATGAAAATGTTGACATTCTCAAAGAGTAATATGTCATTTTTTTGGCATTTCAGAAATAATGGCAGTTTTTAGAAAAAAATGATATTTTTAACACCGATCGAAGGTGGTGGTGTAGGGAGGCAGTACAGGCGGTGGGAAAGGCATCAATATTTTTTAATGGAGTTTTACTATTTTTATTATTTTTGTTTTTTTATTTTTTTAATAAATATTTTATAAATTGTTTTATTATTTTTCTACGATTTTTTGAATTTTTTTCGAATTTATTATGAATTAAAAATTTAATTATGACTTTTGACTACCTTTTATTCATATTTAAAGGAGGGGTAAGGATGGAATGAAAAAATAGGTATGTTTCCAATAGGAGTAATATAGTCCTATTTTGGAATAAAAACATAAGAAGTCCTATTTTGAATTTTTTCCATAATTTTATTCCTATTTGGAGTAATTTCTAAATTTTAAAGTGTGAACTCCTTTTCTCCATGTATTGAAGGGGTATTTATAGTAAATA